GCCGTAATTGAAGTCAGCTTGGCGGCCCTAGATAAATCAGCTTGATTACAATATACCTTGACAGAATTCAGCTTTGTAAGATATGAAGAGGCAGTTCCTGCAGTCTTCTCCGAGTTGTGAATGTGCCTTAATTACTGAAGCCATCAAATATGAGAAACTAAACCCAGACATGTGACTACTATGTTGTGTGGTCAACTCAGGCTCCTACAACTATTCTGAACACCTAAAAGAGGAGAGAGTCTAGCAGCAACAGGGCAGGGGGGCATATCTAATAGTGTGTTACTTGTACTTTTTACATGTGGATGATTTCAAATCAAGGCAGGCTGTTACAACCAACTATCTGACACCACCAGACAGGGAAGTCCCTATAAAGCTTTCACTGTCCCGCTTATTTCTAAGAGGGAGACATTTTCTATCTTAGCCCAAGGAGACAAGTCAGTTTCTCCATCCTCTTTCCAGACTGGTCACAGGAGGTAGGAAGTTTGGACTTCAACATTTCCAGTAAAAAGTTCAATTCTGTGCAGTCTCTCTTTTGGCTTTGTTCTAACTAATCCCTGGGGAAGTGAGTATTATTTAGATTTTTTTTTTAAGAGTTCTGGTTTATTTGATTTATAAATTCTGATAGAGACTTTTTATAAAATGTTACATAAAATGCAACCAAAGTGAGATCTAGTTTAAAAGCCTGTCTTATTTCACATAAGCCAACCGATGTCTAGAATTGCAGCACCAATGAAGTCTCTCACTGGAATGGCAGTGGCTTTGGGCCTGATTTTTAAAGGCATTTAGGTGCCTAAAGATAGCCGCCCCCTCCCCCATCTTCCCCATGCCACTTCTGAAAATCCCACTAGGCTCCTATTTGTATCTTTGGACATCTAAATACCTTTAAAAATCCGGTGCTTTGGGCATGATCCTGGAAACATGACCACATGTCCTACTCAAGTCTCTGAATACTACCACTGACACCCATAAAACTAGCTATCTTCAAGTGTTTGTAGGGTCACGCCCCTAATGACTTGATACATGGTAGCCAGCCCCCTTGGGATATAGGCTATAAAGTTGTAGAAACAGACTTAAATACATGGAAGCAACAGTGTCTGTGGAGACTTACCAGAAAGAGAAGGTGGAGACAGGTGTAATGGCAGAATGCAAGCCCATTCCTAGAAGGAACGGGGCGGACAATTCCATGTGCTTGCTCTTCTCAGAACTACCAGTTAGCAATACAGTCACTCCTACCAAAAAAAAAAAAAACACAACAATAAATAATTGCTAGAAAAAAACCACTAGCTGCCAGCTATCTTCTGAAGCCTTTACGCCTCCAAGCTTACTAGCTTCCTCTTCTCTGCTCCCCAGGGGAAAAAGCATGAAAACAAACAAACTGCTGAGTGTTAAGAGGACACTGTCAAATCTAGTTCATTTAAAATAAGAGGTTTGAGGCACTAGACCTGGTCTTAAGTCTATTGGTCAGTTTCTGTCTTTACAAGAACATCTTTCTATTTTTTCCCCCTCCCTGCTGCTGTGTAAAGATCCTCAGAAACTGACTAGACGCAAACTAGGTGCAATCAAATATACAAATTAAACTGAAGAGACAGGCCTTCTCTAATGTTCTTTGTTTAGGGAAACCTTAGCTGTTAGTTACAAGCTTAAAAATTCATAGTTTGTATTGGATAGACTGTGTCCCTCCTAAAAAAAAAATGAATTAACGGTTCTTTTAAACCACTTCCTACCTTTGATTTCCACCTTCTGCATTCCTTCCACTTCTCCCAACCCACTCCTAGCTGTATTTGGCAGCCTCTTAGATATACAAAGCTGCTTTTAAATTGATGCCTTACAACCAAATTCTGTTCTGAGATAAGCGTGCTAGACTCTTATTGAAGTCAATGGGAGCCCATCCTGCCTATCTAAGTACAGAATGTGACCTTTAACACTCTCACAACTTTCTACAAGTCTGATGATCACACTACAATTGTCTTTACTCTCTCTTAGTGCACAACAGTTACTATTTACAAGTGTGGAATCTTGGTTTTAGCTGCAGCACATTTCCTTCCATAATCACTCTCATCACGAGGAATTTAAGTAAATTAGCACATAATTAACACCTGCGATGAAGAATTTGTTCACCCAACAGAGGGATCATTTAAAAATGAGCTTTAGGTGTGAATGCACCTTTAAGCTTGCTCCTTTTCTTAGTGCCAAAAAGACAACAAAAAAGTGATTAGGAGGGAAATCTAAAGGTTAGATGCATTTTATATTGCTGTACATCTGTAGACATAAATCCACTGACACTATATTAGCAGGACAAGCTATAAAAGTGTTGCTAACGTGTAAATAAAAGAAAGACAGAGCACTCTGGTCTCTGGCAGGGGTAGATACGATCCATCCAGGTTAGAGTGACACACTGTTAGGGTTGTGAGCCCCCCATGTCCATCTGTTGCATTGTCAATTCCTGATTTGGTGGGGAGTTGCCTAGTCTGATCTATCTGTACCCCTATCCTATCTAAAGCCCTGATCCTGCAAACACTTCCATAGTTAATTTTACTACCATGAGTAATCCCATTGGTTTTGATGGGATAACTCATAATAGTAAACTTAAGCATATGTGTATTTACAGGATTGGGCTAATGGTTAAGAATTGACCACATGCACTCTCATGCAGACAAGTATCAGAGGGGCAGCTGTGTTAGTCTGTATCCACAAAAACAAGGAGTCCAGTGGCACTTTAAAGACTAACAGATTTATTTGGGCATAAGCTTTCATGGGTAAAAACCCCACTTCTTCAGATGCTTATGCCCAAATAAATCTGTTAGTCTTTAAGGTGCCACCAGACTCCTCATTGTTCTCATGCAGACAGCTGACTTACACACCCTTGCAGAGCTCAATGCCGAATCAAGGCACTGTGTGTGCTAATTCAGTTTCTCAACCTTTTTGATACCAGGGACTGGCTTGCTACCTTCCTAAATAGTGTCAGGGAAATCTCAGGGACCGGTGCTAGTCCACGGACCAGTTGTTGAGAAACACTGAGCTAATGGGTAGCTATTTAAACCAACCCTATATTTTGTATTGCATAGATCTGGCTTATGGTTCTGCGCACCTTTAAACTAGCACTGGTTCTACAGTGATGTAATTCAATAAATTGCAGTCAATTAAATGAACAGAGGTGTAAGTTTGCTAAATTGTGCTGTTTCATGAGTCCGTAAACACCAGAGAAAATCTTTGTGTTTAGTTGTTCCTCACTCTATAGTCACTCAGGCAGACCACTGAGAAAGGGAAGCTGGGTTTCTATACAGGAGCTTGCAATCACAGTTCCTTTTAGCTGAACACAACTATTATAGTATAAAGAATTGGCCACACCTGGACTCTGGCAGGTTAGTGACACAGCTAAATAACACAGAGCATTTAATTGAGAAAGCAACAATAGGTGGTATAGCAATTCTTCTTTTAAAAGTGGGCAATGTTGTCTAGTGGGCTAAGCAAGGAACTCTCAAGTTCTAACTGCTTCTCAAGCGGTCTTGCTACCTGCCCTTGAGTATATATCACTTAACTTCAATGGCCTTGTCAACGGGATTTTCAGTCTCCACCATTGTAGATCAACTGGGACTCGTTATGGTCCAAGAACTTGTGTTGACCAGACACAGGTATTTTTACCACTGTGTGATTTCAAATGCCCTCTGAGTAGGGTTAGACCAGTGGTATGCAGACTTTTCAGACTACTGCACCCTTTCAGGAGTCTGATTTGTCTTGTGTACCCCCAAGTTTCACCTCACTTAAACTATTTGCTTACAAACTCAGACATAAAAATACAAAAGTGTCACAGCAAACTATTACTGAAAAATTGCTTGCTTTCTCATTTTTACCATATAATCATAAAATAAATCAACTGGAATATAAATATTGTACTTATGTCAGTATACAGTATATAGACCAGTATAAACAAGTCATTGTCTGTATGAAATTTTAGTTTGTACTGACTTTGCTAGTGCTTTTTATGTAGCCTGTTGTAAAACTAGGTAAATATCTAGATGAGTTGACGTATCGGCCTGGAAGAATTCAAGACCTCTGTGTCCCTTCAGGGGCACAAGACATGCCCCTCCTTGAGAACCACTGGGTTAGACAACATGATAATAAAAATGCCTTCTGTAGAGCTGATGTGGGGAGAACTGAGGAAAGGGCATAATAGAATAAGGTGTCCAAAAACTGCTGGTGCAGACAATGTCACAGATCCTCCCTCCTGAAAAATGAGGTAATGAAACCTACTTGTCTACCTCACACAGCTGTTGTAACTAAGGCTTGCTGTGCTTTGCAGAGTTTGTAAATCACTCCTTTTACAGCCCAGCTGGATGAAAGCATACCCCCAGTTGGAGGAGCTCCCCAGTGCCCATCCCCTCAGTGTGTGTGTGTGTAGATCTGTACTATGCTGTTTCTCAGCACTGCAGTGTGTTTAACAACAGGCGCTTGGGCACGCTGAGTTTTCAGCGGTGAAGAGGGAAGAACATTGCATGCTAGGGAGGTGCTGGAACAAAGGAGGGCTGTGACTAGATTGGCAGAACTGAAATCCGAGCCCTTGCACTACTACTGCTTCTGTTCTCTCTTTCAGAATTAGAGTCCCTCAGCTTGTCCGGGAGGGGGAGGGGTTCCCTCTGCATAAAGCGGCTGCTCAGCTAGACAAGGCAAAAGAATCATTTATCTCCCCCCCACACACCCCATTGCAGCAGTGCTAGATATTTACAAGTCTCCTATCGCCTTGGTATCCACCCTCAGCCTGCTGGGCAGTGTCAGACCCCTGAGGCTGTCCTACCCACCCCATCCTCAAAGCCCCCTGGAGGGAAATTCCAATCACAGCCCATCAGCACTGGTCCTTATTCAGCTGGAAGAAACGCTGCCGTTTTACACCCATGCAAGAGGCTAGAGCAAGCAGCAGGATTGGGCAGCCTGGTGCAGAGCCTGTGAAGTATCCAAGTCTTTACAGTTCCCCTTTCTCAGAAAATTGTACTGAGATGGAAAAAAAAAAAAACCCCAAACAAGTGGCTATGTAGATGTATTAACCTGTGTTAGTACTATATGATGTAGATCACTGATAAGCACACCGCGAAGACACACGACCACTTGCAACACAGCCATCTGAAAAGAACTGGGCTTCTTCCATTAAACCTAACTGAAGTGCAAATGATAGGGTTTAGGCTGGGGACTCTTATTTTGATATGCTTGCATAGCTAGGTGGACAAGGGAGTACATCAGATGTCATTATCTGGCAGCAGATAAAAGTCCTTGGTCTTATAATACTAAGCAGAGTGCTACTATGATTACAGTCCGTGTCAGGGAATGACTATCCCTTCCGCAAAATATTGGTTAAAGCCCAGGTGACAACTTCTGTAGGTAAGTATTTTTTTCACCTGTCACTTTTATTTGAGATCTCTGATTAGCAGCACTGTCTGATCTGTATTAAAGAAAAAAAAAAGTGATGCACTGAATAACATTGCTCAGTCAAATGCATAGTGTTTGTACTGTAGTTTGCAAGTTCATCTGGAAAACGTTGAGAAAAACAAGTCTTGTGATGTGAACTCAGAATTACTTGTAAGGAAAATGTACTGGATCTGAAATGTAAAGTATAGTCATATTACAAGAGAAGGTTTAGGATAGACCTTACTAAATAGATGTGTCTTTACATAATTAATTATGTACAGTATTGGGAGTTTTTTTTGGGGGGGGGGAGGGATTGTAAATGGATAGTGGATAAAATGGGTCTGTAAAATATTACAGTAAAAATGGCTGAATTCTTGGTTTTTAACTGAGTTTGTTGCACTGGTGAACAAGAAAACAGTTTAGACATGATCTAGAAATTAGTTTCACATTCCAAGAATGTGCGAAAGGGAAAAGTTAGGGACTTTTTTTAATGAGAATTCCTGTTCTCTTATGGTTAATTTACAACTACACTGATAAAGAGCACTAGGAAATAGAAGGTTTACCTCTTGTTTAAAACAGGAGAGATGTCTTAAGAATATGATCTCTTCCCCAGGGGAATTTATGACCTCATGGAACCCTTCTTTGGGCTCTCCTAGGAAAGGAATACACGTGTGTGTGTGTGTGTGTGTGTGTGTGTGTGTGTGTATAAAGAGCAGCAAAACAGCTGATCTCTGTTGGACAAGACTGCAATTTTTTCCAGCACATGTAACGTGTGTAGATTTATAGTTCTCTATTTAAGAATAGCTTTTACAATCCAGCGACTTGCTTGGTTCACTTTTATGAAACTTGCTTCTTTATAACTGATAAGAGGTATAGTTTAGACATCTACAATTTACAGATGCAATATAATCAAGCCCCTTCCAAGTTTGTTTGCCCTACTGTATCTTATAGCAGTGCTTTATCTAGCTATACATTCTGCCTTAATCAGTACTGTCTGTGTGCTATCTGGCAAGACAAACATCATTCACAACAGCCATGCTTTCAATTAGCATTCACTCACAGCAACTTCAGTATTAATGCTCACTAACAAATCTCAGCAGATTACTTCAACAAGGTGAACTGCTATTACATGCAAAAGGCTGAAATACACACTTCCCTTCACTAGGCTTCATATTTACACACCTAATCTGAATTGGTCATAAAATTTGAGCTCAGAAATTATTTGATTTTTGGTCTCCAATAAGGCATTATACAAAGTATGGAAAACTTAATTTAGTGACATTAAAATGAGGACTATAGCTATAGTCCTATAATGACAATTCTGAGATAAGATTTTTTTTTTAATAAAACAAAAGAATTAATCTACTAGAGTTAAGAAAACTCTAGTAATCTGATACAGACCCCAGTTCATGCTTCACTAGCAGTGTAGTGAATTGATGAATTCCATGGCCAAAATACTGAATTCTGTGGTATACTGGAAAAATGCTAGATTCCTGGGTGCAGAATTATATAGACCACAGTTCCTTGATTGAGCTGACTGTGGCAGTTAGAGCGATCACTTCAGGATGCCTGCAGATTCAGGCAGGCAGCACCGTCAGGTCATGCTTGATTCATGTTTTCAAGGTGATCATTGCAACTCTATTACTTTGTGACAGAACTTACCGTGCCGTTCCAGAGCAGACACCTGTGGTGAGCAACAAGCTAAGGTTGAGTGGGGGGTAGAACTCCATATGATAATCAGAAATGTATTGTTCATATAGCTCTAGAATGGCTAAAAATAGAATCTTCAGACATGGTTTATTGATCTATTAATATTTAATAATCAATCCAAAGAGCATGATGCTCATGCATCTGAGTGACTGCTCTCTACACAATACTTACAACTCAAATTGTAACGTACAATTTATGTTATTTGTATTGTCTTCCTAAAGGAATAATCCACATCAAGACAGCCCCTTTCCATCGAGGTAGGGATTCCATTCTACCCAGGAACCTAGCCAAGAAAGTTTTTGTGGCCTATCATCTAATTTTTACCAGCCACCAACCCAAAGCCCACTGTCACCTACAAAAAGCCAGGACAATTACGAAACCTCCCCTATGAGTGTCAGTAATCTCCCATCCAGGTCCTCTGTGTACCAACCAAGCATGTTTAACTACGAGCGTCCAAAACATTTTATCCAGTCTCAGAATACGTGTCAAGGGAAACTGCAGCCTCCGGGACCCAAGACATCTGCATTTTCAAGCAGTCAGACCAAACAGTCATCAATTCTAATCCAGCCTCGTAATGCTAGCGAGCAGAAGTTTTCTTCATCTTCATCGCTGAGCTCCCCAATCTTTCTCTCCTCGTCTTCCCATAGCTCCCATAAGGAATCTGCATTTCCCATCACACCTGCATCTGCACCGTCTCCTGCTGCTTCCTCATCTGGGCAAAGGCTTTCATCCATGCATAACCAGTCCCCTGCAGCATTCCTCTGCTCAGTGTTGCCCTCGCAGTCTGATTATAATAGCCAAGCTCCTTCTACTGTGGAATCTAAGTAAGTATATCCAGGCTTCTAACTTTCCCATGCTTTGAATTGGTTGTGTGTGGGTTTTGTGCCGCTCCAAGTTTTGACCAAGCCATGTCCATATATTGGGTGAAATCCTGGTCCCAAGGAAGCCAATGACTAAACTCCCATTGGCTCCTAATCCTAATTGCTTTACTCGCACAGGCATGGGCCCATGGTGTCTGGCTGGGAGAAGTATTTGTAAATTAGAAACTAAACTGCAAATTCTTTACATACCCCTCCACTGTGCATTCATTTGTTAGCACAAGAGTAAGTCTACACTTAAAATGCTGCATCAGCGAAGCTGCGTCGCCGTAGCACTTTAGTGAATATGCTCTAAGCTGATGGGAGAGAGCTCTCCTGTCAGTGCAGTTAATCCACTGCCCTGAGAGACAGTAGCTGTGTCGGCGAGGTCTACACGGGGTGTGGGAGGGAGGTTGGTATAACTATGTCGTTAAGGGGTGTGGATTTTTCACACCCTGAGCGATGTAGTTCTACGTTACAGACCTATATCTGTATACCAGACTGGTGATGAGCAGTCTACTTTGTTGTTATGGTGGAAACCAATTCCATAAGGGCAGCCAAAGCAAGGGTTGAGCACTCATCTTAAATTGCCTACATTACATTATTCTCTGATTTCATTCAATTTCAGAAAACAGGAATCCTGTATGAAAAGAGCTCCTTGTGAGAGCGCTCCCATGCAGGAGCTTTAATGTTTCATAGCAAAACACTAAGGTATCCCCTGAGTCCCTCTCACTTTATGTATCCAGAGATTGAGAAACTGACCCATGGTAACAGTTTTCAGGAATCCCATTTCAATGATTCTGAGGTGTAAGTGACTTGAGAGCTTCTCAAAGTTCTATCCCTTGAAACCAAGGACCAGCGTCTCCTCCCTGATGTGTGTCACACAGATTCAGTGCCATTTTGAGGTCTATGGAAAAACACTCCGTGACCTCACTGGGAGCTCATATGAAGAGCAAGGGAAGAATGTGCCCTAGCCAACTGCATTGAGGATAATGGAGGGGAGTGTGTTTTGTTTGCTATTTTGGGCATAAAGTTGGATTAAATGCTCGTATTCGTGAAAACTAAAAGGCTACCAGCTTCCTTGTACCACAACTGTGGTGTGATTGATAAAGGGCTGGTAATATTAATTAGGTTAGGTGTCATTCTATCTAGCCCCATACTTCTCCGGAACAGAACTAGAAGTAGTATGTGTGATAATTAGATACATGCCTGTGACAACCACAATTATACAACAGAATACTTTGCAGCTCCACTATGTCATCTGTCTCTGGAACTCTAAATGCTTTACAAATATTAAGTCAATTCAATACCCCATGAGACAGGGGAGCGTTATTATCCCGATAATTTTACAGGTGGGTAAACTGAGGAACACGGAGACTGAGTAACTTGCCAAGGTCATACAGTTATTTCAAAATAGTCAAGCATCAGGAAGGGATCCGAAATCCTGGTTCCACTTCCCCTGCTCTGACCACTAGGAAGTACTCAGTGGAGGAAGAAGGGCATTTGGTCTAGTATGCACTGTAAATAACCTGTTGGGACTCTTGCTCTTTATGGAACAAACATAATATGAAGGAAACATAGGGGCATGATGGGGTCCAAATACCATGTTAGAAGATACACGGCTCTGCTACAACTTACACTGCTGCTCTGCTTGTATTCTGGCTGCTTCTACAACTAAAGCACCACCAGCGAGCTCACAAAACTATTCCAAGGGATGCTACCCTATTCCTATACACTACCCAAGCCTTCTAGCAAGAAATGACCAGACAAGGACATTGCCTATGTAAATCATCTCAGCCTTTACCAAAGTCTGACCCTGCAATCCTCACTCATGGGGCAGCCTTACCCAAAGGAGGTTGGTAAACCCCACCTCAGTGAAGTTTGCAGGTTATGTTCCCAAAAGGGACAGAGACTGCTTTGCATAGCCTTGGGTACTGTATCCCTGAACCGTAATGTTTTACCCAAGTAATACTACCCTGGGTAGTGAGAACTCAAACGAAAGGCACAACCACATCTCTGTGTGTGCACACTTGTTCATCTGGTTGTCACTCGAAGGATCACTAGATGCAGATTTTTCCCCCAAAACACTTGTCCAGCTGTGGAGTTACCCTACAGAAAGAGTTGTGGTAAAAATGCACCAAGACCACATCCACCATATAACTAGGTGGAATATAATCATATAGTCCTTCCCACACACACAAACTTGGCCATAACTGACACCATCTCTGAGCCCTCTCATGCAACCCAGACTATGGTTGGGTATCAAATTTAGCCCAAGAAAAGAATGGCCCAAGTTCCTACTAAGGCCTGGGGAAGGAAGATGTGATGAGTGGAGGGAAGATACCATACTTGTGTGAATTTGTTTTCTCCCCTCCCTTTGGAAATATACAAAGTTAGGTTTTTAACCCTTTCTTGGAGTTGATATTTGGGGTTATTTCAGACTTTCCTCCAAAACCCCTGGGAGGGGAACAGAGGGGAACTACATGATGCAAACCTCTGCTTCTTAATCCTTCCTTCAGCTGGAGGTAGGGGGCGCATGGAGAAGTAAACCTGCATAGTCCAAGGATCGATCTTCTCCCAACCCTACAATGTCCTGTCTCTGGTCCCCCAGGGCTGTGGAGTAAAAGCTGCTGAGCGGCCCCTGCACCTGTTAATCCTGCTCTTATCCCCACTGACATCCATTCATGGCTGGTGGGCCCCATGGCAAGCAGAGGAGAATGGTTGCCCTCTCTTCCCTCCATACCTCCCTTCCCCCTCAAAAAAAAAAAAAACCCTTTATCCCCTCTATTACTATTTCTGAGCCATACAACTCCAGCCCCTTGGGAACTCGCAGACGGCCCTCTGCTCCAACTGCAGAGAGGGGTGAGCGTGCAATGACCGGTGTGCCTAATCCTCATCCCTGCTGCGCTGCCTGCCTGCGTCTCTATCTGCTTTTTGCCCCCCTTCTGCCCAGGTAGACGGAGGGAGCTTTGGGGCCCCGGTGGCTTTTAAGGGGCAGGAAGGGGATAAAGGCCTTGCTTACAGTGGTTCAGGTGATAAGGGTGACCTATGCATGTCTGGTACTTGTGCTGTCTACCAGGTAACGTGGCCTAGTGCAGGCCCATTTCCCTGAACTCTGTGTCTCAGTAACAATACTTGGCATGTATAGCCGTTTACCTGTCCCAAGTAGTTTACAAACTGATTCATAGCCAATGTTATAGCCAACAAAGGGCAAATATAAATTTGAATATTTATATCTATTCTCTACCTAGATTTTATGCAGTCCTAACTCGTACCTAGGCTAGCTCAAAGGAGTGACTTTCTGTCTGTCTCTTGTCTAAAGTAGTTACTCAAAGCCAATGTATACCAAACAAGCTAGCACCAAGCCAACATATAAGACCTCAGATCGAGAGATACAAGGAACAAAAGAAGCCCTCATTCAAGACCTGGAAAGGAAACTGCGAGGCAAAGACAACCTTCTTCATAATGGCAACCAGGTAAGAGAGAACCTCTTAGTGCAAAGAATCCACTTACTCTGAATTTCATTAGAAGACTTCTAGCAATTCAGAGACTTGTATCCAAGTGCTTTAATTAATCACATGTTGGTTTCCGTCTTTGCCAGCCCCTAGAAAGCAACTGTTTGTAGAAGAGGGGCCAGAACTACTTCAGTCATAACCGCAATGGCCACAATCGACCAGAAGCCCCAGGGAACGTTAGGTTTAGAATTTTGCATGAGTGTGTTTATCCTGGTTTACAGCTGTAGTTTATCATTCTAGTCAGTCATGTTTAATTAGTAACACTGATAAGTAAAAGTGACCAATTGCCGTCTGATAAGTGGCTGCTGTCTTGTCACAATCTTCCCTAAAGCCCTTTTTAGAGGGCATCTAACAGCGTCCCACAGTGCTTTGTATTAGCTTACTAAAAAGAAACTGAATTGTTAAAGAAAATTAGTTTGCCAGAACACAAACGTCCGGGTATCTATTTCAAAGGGAAACCATTTTCTGTAAAAAGTAGGGTTACCATATTCGAACATTCAAAAAAAAGGACACTCTACGGGGGGTGTCGGCCCTGCCCACAGTACACCCCCACTCCTCCCATGCTCCATCCCCACTCTGCCCCAGGTCCCACCCCCTCCCTGCTTGGCCCCGCCACCACACCCGTCCTCCCCCCTTGGCCCGCCGCTGGCTTGCTGCATCCCTCCTCAGTCCCCCACCCACCACTCACCTCCTCACTCCCCTGTCAGAAACCCCCATGCCCACCCCAAGAACCCCCGCTGGCTCGCTGCTTCTTGCCTTCTCACCCCCGCCCACCCACCCACCCACTGCTGGCTTCCTCGCTGCTCGCCTCTTCAACCCCTGCTGCCCGCCGCTGGCCTTTTCACACACACCCCCGCCTACTGCTGGCTCCCTGCCTGCCCCTTGCCTCCTCACCCGCCTGCCACTTGCCTCCTCACCCGCCCGCCTGCCAGCCAGTCACTGGCTCGCTCGCCTCTCACCCTCCCTCCCCTCTCCCCCCCCCCCCCCCCCCGGCTCAACTACTCACCCCTCCTGCTGCAGGTCTCTCGGCTCCTAGGATTAGGGGCAGCCAAGGGGTCTCCATGTGCTATGCCCACCACAAGCGCGAGCTCCGTGGCTCCCATTGGCCGGGAAAAACACCAATGGGAGCTGCCGGAGCCGGGCTTGCAGGGAGCCGGTGCAGCAAGCTCCCTCCTGCCCAATCAGAGCTGTGGGGGCGGTGCTTGCAGGCACCAGCAGCAGGCAGAGAGCCCTCCGCCCCAGAACCCCCCGACCCGACCCTAGGAGCCAGAGGGACCTGCTGGATGCTCCCAGGAACCGACCCAGGTAAGCACCACCGGGACTCCCCACCTCGCCCCCCCGGCAGGTCCCTCTGGCTCTTAGGGTCGGGGGGGAGGGCTCTCTGCATGCTGCCTGCAAGCCCCGTTCTGCGGCTCCAGCAGCTCCCATCTAGGGTTACCATACGTCCGTATTTTCCCAGACGTTTTTAGATATTTAAAAATTCCTCCTGGACGGTGATTTAAGAACTAAAAAGCCAGACATGTCCAGGAAAATACGGACATATGGTAACCCTAGTAAAAAGTCTCTTTACCCCAGGCACACATTTGCCTAAGTTCAGGAGGCTCAAAATGCTGGTCTCCTGGGCCATGAAATCCAAATTGTAGAGGGTTTTAAAAAAAAAAAAAAAAATCCGCTCTCCAAGTGCAGTGTCACCAAGGCAGAAGCAAGCCAACCTGTAGTGAGCTGGCTCTAACGTGTTGTGGAAACATTCCTATTGGTCTGAGATTTGGTAAAAGCTTAGCAGGTAAGGGCTGGATGCTGCTTTCACTGAAGTCAATAGACGTTTTACCATTAACTTCAATGGGAGGGAGAGCAGGCCATGTATGTCTAGAATATAAATTACAAATCTATTTGGGGAGAGAGAGAGAGAAACTAAATCTTGGCCCAATCTGACCTAAGAATGTTCCTTATCAGAAGTGCATCTTGCAGCATTTCATCTGACTGAGTACGAACATTGCACAGCTTGACACCTGCATTACCATTACTGTCTAGCAGCCAGTCATGGACCGAACATCTATTTTAATGCGGCTTCTGAACTGGGGGGAAAAACGCTATCAAAGTTCAAACCAAATTCTGCTTTTACTTACCCCAGTGCAAATTGGGTGCAAGTGCATCAGTGTCAAAGTCTGTCTGCTCCTACTGTGAAAGAATTTAGTCCTTACCCAGTTAATATTTACTCTTGCTCAAGAGAGAGTACACAGCACTTCACAGGGTGGATGGGTGGTTTTTTTTTGTTGTGTAGGTTTAGCACCTACCACACAGTTAGTGCCTGAAAGAGATGCACAGCTGGTGGACTTGGAAAGGCCTCCTAGGGCTAATGTAAGGAGACCCTGGAAGCTTGTTCTGATCTCCCAGTTAGTGTCATCAGTGTTCGTTATTAATCATCCCTGGCCATTCTCCTCTTGAAGGTTCTCTGCAAGAACGGGAGGCCAGAGATGACATTTCCAAGGCCTTGATGAAAAGACTGTTTAAACCTAGACGTGTTTGGGTGCTATATACAATTGAGAGTGAGCTCAGCAGATTCCAAGACATCAGATCCTTTGGAACAGCCACAGGCATGCTGCAGCCACACTTTCCTTTCAGCAGCTCCTTGAATTTTTGGCATATTAATGTGCCCTAACTTGACTGTGGGTAACCTGAAATTGTAACTAAAACTCAAGTGATAGTAAATCCCCTTTTAACCAGAATTGCTCTCCCGCCCTGCTTTCAGCGGCTAACCTATGAAGAGAGAATGGCTCGCAGGCTGCTTGGACCAGAAAATGCTGCTTCTGTGCTTGTAACTCAAAATGAAGAAAATTTGCAGAACTCACAGGTAAATGAAAATTGTCCAAAACTAGTGTCCATTGTCTGTCTAAATTTTCAGTCACTTGTATTGGAATGGGGTAGGGGAATAGGTCTCTTTGTGGAGTACAAAAAAGGAAAAATCAAGATACCTACTCTGATAAACTTCTGTATAGCCTCCTCCATCTGAGGATTTCAAAGCACTATATGCATATTAACTAAGGCCCAGTCAGAGATATTTAGGTGCTTAACTCCCCATGGGAGTTAGGTGCCTATAGACCTTGGTGAATCTGGGCTTTAACCCTTATATCAACTGTCAGGTTGGGATATATAAGAATTCCATCTCTGGGAGGAACACAACAGCTGTTTCACAGCAACATTGCATGATTGTTTAGGACAGGAGTGATGACTAATACAATAATCAATTTAAATGGCAGGGGGATTCAGGTAAGTCGTATGTAACTTCCTGAGTTAGAACTTGGCTAGGACATAGGGATTAACTAGTGTTATGAATAGTGACATGACCACAAGAAGTCAGCATCTGGGTTTTGGATTTTTTTTTTTTTTTTTTAAAACATCCTGTCCAAAAGATGAATAATTAATGCTAGCTGCTAGGATGACATTGGATACAAGGTTAATACAAGGAGGAAGAAAACTCATGAAATAAAACCGAAGGGGAAGATAGAAGAATGTGTAAAAAACTACTATAGAAGTTGATCCTGTATTGGGCACTGCAGATAACAGGGGACATATAGCTAAGATGCTAAAAAAGCATATCTGATTTTTGGATTTGTCTGCTTGCCCCAAACAATATCCATTGGCTGCTATACCATACAGAACAGGTCAATAAGACACTACCTTCAGTATTTCTCTGGTGCAGATTACTAGAAAAGGCTATGGTGTGGCACCAGGGATCTGCATACCCCGGAGAAACCATCCCAGTTTCCAAGGATTGCCTTCTGCTGTATGTTACTAGGATAACCTGCAATATATCAGCTGAAATATCCATTTCACTAGAGAAAATTGATGATTAGGAGTCCAATTGCAAAACTTCTATAGACTTCAATGCAGAGTAAAAACCATAAGCTCAAACGCTTGGGAAGAAATGAGATGTTTGTAATAAAGCTAATTCCCCCACCCAATAGTTGTAGAGAAGAAGCAGGTTACAGCAGCCGTCTGGGGCATGCTCTACAAAGAGCAGACAGGGGAAGTTGAGTCATGACAGCAAATTTGGTGATATTTCATGTGTTGCTTCAAATTGTTCTCAAAATGCCCCTATCAGTGACCCATCCAACCACGAATCTTTGTTTTACTACTTCGGCCAGTCTGTAGAAACTGTGGACAAACTGATGCTTTACAGCTGAATCTTAAATGAGCATAGTCATATTAAAGGAGGACACTTGCATTTGTAACCAGTGGGCATGGAGTGTGGATATAGGGTTCAGTCCTGCACAGTATTGACCAGTGTAGCCCAATCTAGTAAAACAGTTAAGCACAGGCTTAATGTTAAGCTGTGAGTAACCCACTAACAAACTTAGCACTGTGCAAGATCAATGTCTTACTGCTTGACTACTACTGTGATGGGCACTAAAATACCTAGGAGAGCTTTCTATATTGTCGTTCCTATATTTAACTGGCTCCACAGCTAAAATGGTGGAAATTCTCTGACTTGCTGGTATTAAACGCCATTGTATCTGTTCCTCAGAACCCTAAAATAAAGAAGTCCTAGTAGAAGCCAATCCTGGGTACTGGTACTTTTCTAATAACTTGATGGGGACTTATCAGAAAGCTTAGCTGGTGCTGTGATCTAGCAAGGAAAGTATTTTCCAGCTGAACACGTGTTCATGGGCATTGGCTCATTTGTGAGCAGGCACAACAAAGCGTTCTTGCTAGTACCATATCAAAGTGACTTCATTTCTATTCCTGCTTTACTGAAGGACAGCCTGTACCTAGCTCCCATTTCAAATATTCCAGTGGGAATAATCCCCTCTAACAGAGGTTATAGGTTTGCCAAAAGACTTTCAGCTAAAGGAAATGACTGCACTAGTCACCTGTGCAAAGTGACGGAAAGCTGTTCCAAACTATTAGTAGCATTTGTTCCTAGCCAAGGCAGAACTCTGGGATGAAAATAAGTAAGTGTTTTGACTCATGATGTCCGTCTCTTTATATTTTATAATAAAGACTCCTAAAGTGCTTGCAACAATTGGCTTTTGAAAGGCAAACTGCTCTTTATTCAACATGTTTTCAGTTCAACCTCTTGATAAATTCTGCATTGCTAACCTATTTTGATGATTTTTTTCCCCCTCTTTTCCAAGCAGCAGAATTCAGAAAACACAAGACTACAGGTTCCTACGCCACAAAACAGGTATTCTTTGAATCTATACGCAGCTACTTTTGTTACAACATCCCCTCTCAATGTTTCTATGAGATGCGAGTTCTGATCCACATTGTGTGTATGCGCAAGAGCGCTATTAAATTAGCTACATTCACTTCCTTTCAGAGGCATCAGCATAAAAGTTTAGTTAAACTTCAGTTTGTAGAATAATCAAGGTGACAGTTATTTCAGTTATTGGAGTAACTTCAAAGGTAGGTTGGTAACCCACATACGTCAAGCCAAATAATAGGCTAGGGATTCTAGAAAGTACATCATACACCTCTGTGTAGTGATGTAATGCATAACTGTCGGGTATGGGATATGATGCAAGAATCTTTGGGCATGCTGCAAATGCTTTGAGACCTGAGGCCAAAGATAGCTGCTTTTTTATGTGAAGCATGTATATTGGCTCTTCTATTCAACACAGTCTAAGCTAGTCAGATAGCTGGTTGGCGACCATATTCACTAAATAGACATTGGGGGGAGGGGGGGAGAGAGAGGAGAACCCTATTGTTTTGTCTTTGGAGGGATAACAACATTCTTGGATCTATTAATATAGCCAGAGTCCCTTTTAAAGTGTTTTTTTAATAAAGGTAACATGTCCGTGATCATGTGTATACCTTGTTGTAAGTAACTATAAATGTGCACATTATAGGAGCAGACCATCCTCAAGAGGGGAGTGGAAGGAGCATGGCTCAATCCAGGAGAAGTTTTTTCAACCACGTTTTGTCCAAGTGCCTGAAGACAAAATGACTGTTGAAGAGGGACGATTTTGCAGGATTGACTTCAAAGTAAGACAGATGTTCATACAATCTTTCAGTACAATTAAAACTAATTTGTCTGTTGGTAATTACTATATGCAATACATATAGGTGTCACTGCAGCTCAGAGACCTCTGTCCTTATGAACTGGAGTGCTACCTGTCCAATATTACTGGCTCTTCAAGTACAGTATCCATTCCAAACAGCTTTACAAATTTTAGTAATGAGAGAAGTTTTGCAAACTTCTCATTAGTCCTGGAAAACCTGAAATTTGACTGACTAGCCATATCTTCCTGCTCATACTAGGATTTATGAGATAGTGGCTAACGCTGAGTATGCTCTGTAAATATATGAACGGCCATCCTGCAAGAGGACTTTTTAAATGCTACTGCCACAAATTAGGGTCCTAATTCAGGAAGGCACGTAAGCAGGTGCTTAAATGCTTTGCTGGATAGGGGCCCTAATTGACTTCAATGGGATGTAACCAGGTGCTTAATTGTGTCAAATGCAAATAGACTCCTGAATTGGGGCCTACCTGCCTGCCACTTAAGAGCACTTAAAAAGTCCCCTTTGAAGCTAGAAATGTCACCTTGACTGAGCATAGAAGGCAGCTGCTCACAGAAAAGGTTATTTGGGGGGGGGGAAATAGTTGAAACCTTTTATTAAATACATTTAAAGTGAAATGTGCATAACAATTATACTTCCACAAAGTTCTTCTAATAACTCCTCTATTACATTATGGTAAGAAAAGTTAGCTCTTGTGTTGTAGGCAATTTTTAATGTAAATGCTTTTTATGCTGATCCTAACTTGTTTTTTTCTGATTCTGTAAATGTAAAACTGGAAGAGGCATCAAGTAGAGGAATGTGAAGTAACTTTCTCGGAGTTTGACATGACCTCTGACCCCTCAGTATGAAAGGCAGTTCTTAATCTTCAAGATAGTTAGAGATTAAGTAGTTGCAGTTGAGTAGATTCCATTACTATAGCATTGTATTTAATTATGATAAAACTGGTTCAAAATGTGGCCTTATTGAGGGCCCTCTCAGAGACTTCTGAGATAAAATGGTAGGCTTGCCCCTGTGAATGCACACCCACAACGAACCCCACTGTTTGAAATGGGACTTCACAGGTCATTAGGAACGACACAGGTTTCTGTGAGCAGACTCCATTGCCTCATAACTAAAGTTCATGTCTCCAAATCCACTAGACTACTCTATAAACTTCATAATTTACAAAGAAAACCAGTCCTGGCTGGAACTTCCAAGGGTAGAATCCTGGCTTGGTCCTCTAAACTAATGAAACTTTCTGTAGTGGAGGGGCACAGATGGTTTTAGATTTAAACATTAATAACTACAGTACCATAATGGTTTAAGATTGTTTGTTCATGGTTGTGGGTTTTTTGTATTTTTCTTGCTTCACAGGTCAGTGGGCTACCAGCTCCAGATCTGGTATGGTATTTAAATGGAAGGTTGGTCCACCCAGATGACTTTCATAAAATGATAGTGTCTGAAAAGGGCTTTTACTCACTCATTTTTGAAGTGGTCAGAGGCTCTGATGCAGGGACATATGAATGTGTAGCCTCCAATCGTGCTGGAGAAGCCTCCTTTACAGTACAACTGGATGTAACTGGTAAGATATATAGCGGTGATGGCTACCTGGAAATCTTTATTCTCCAACTGTGTGCGCCCAAAAGTGTAAAGGTCTTTCAGACACAGGAAGAAAGGCATTAGAAATGTATCAGGATGTCTGCTTTTAGTTTTGAACTCTTCTACTTCATGATCTCCATGTTTAAGAACTACAGTGGAAAAATTCTTTATACCAAATGTGGGGCTTGGGAAAAATGAATCAACTTGGGATGGGATTTTTCCAAAGTTCTCAGCATTGATTCCAGTGGGAGCAGAGCTAGGCCAATGTTAAAACGCCCATTGACTTCAATGAGAGCACAGAGTTAAGCCAGTGCTGAGAACTCTTGAAAATTCCTCCTTGGCTGTTTATTTAGTCAGTTTCATATATGGGAACTGTAAAATTAATATATATTTACAAAATACAGAGATATGATCATCCATACCACACTCATTTTCCAAAGTTATTTATAAACTAATAACATTTGAACATGTTGAAGGAAGAGATTAATTTTTCAGAAGATATCTTTACCTCTAGGACAAATGTGCATTCCAGGCAAGACAAGTGGTGAAATTCTAGCCCTGCTGAAGCAACAGCAAAGTTCTCATTGGGTGAAATCCTAGCCCCATTGAAATCAAAGACGATTTGGGCTCACTTAAGCCCCAATCATGAAAAATCTTATTCACATGAGTAGTCTTCACTCATGCAAAAAGTCTCACTGAGCATTGATCTGTGGCCTTATTTATGTCAGCATGGATTACTGCTTTCTTCATTTGTGTGGGGTTGAGAGTGCTTTTAAAGCAATTTTGTCT